TTAATCGTTAGTTTGCACGCTGACGGTAAAGCAGCAGACTGTGTGAAGTCGGAAATAGTGAGTTTGTATGCCGATGACACGCTGGTAGCATTTGATGACAACGATGATGACAGGGAATTGCACTTGTTGCTGCCAAATTTACAATTGGATAATCAAAATTATGTATGTGGGCAGTATGATTTTCCGGTGGTACTATGCGCCCAGGAATCGTATGAACGAAAGTCGATAATGCCACCAGTCCATTATCTGGATCGCACGTATCAAAATCTACGAAATCGACCGCTAATGGCGCATTTTAAAATCGGTTTCTTCGAGGATGAAATGATGTTGCACTCGATTGTTTGTTCTTTCAGTCCAATGCGTATCTACATTGAGGATTCATACCTTAACTACTGGCTTGACGCTGTAGTGGATTGCACACCTTCCAATTGTGCTTATCGCGCGGAGCAGCCAATTTCACGCATCACTCTGGCTAGTGGAGAATTTCTTTTACCGCGGGTCGTCGTCGGACAAGCGACGTGTATTGCAGAGCCGCTGCAGATACGCCAATTTCAAATTGACCCACTTGACGTTCTGCTCTCCGTCCACACTTCCATACGTCTTTACATAGCGCTTGACCATTCACCCCTCTCGTTTTCCACCTATAATCGCCAATATATATTAACAGTGCCGCTACGCTTCGGCCAGTCGCTTAGTATGCATTATTTATCGGGCGCAATTTTCGGCGCGGGCTGGGTTGTGGGTTCACTGGAGATACTGGGTAGTCCCAGTGGGTTGGCGCGCTCGTTCACCACTGGACTGCGCGATTTCGTTTCCATGCCGGTAGAGGGACTTTTTCGTGGGCCATGGGGTTTTATTGTAGGTGTAACACAAGGTTCCGCATCGCTTCTACGCAACGTTACTGCTGGTACATTAAACTCTGTTTCAAAGCTGGCCGCATCTGTGGCGCGAAATCTCGATCGTCTAACACTAGATCAGGAGCACATTGAGCGTACCGAAGCGCTGCGGCGATGCCGGCCACATGGCTTCACGGAGGGTTTGGCCCAAGGTGTCACGGGCTTGGGTATAAGCATTTTAGGTGCAGTTGGCGGATTGGCTCGCCACACTTTGGAGGCGCGAACGCCCGTAGAGGTGATGACTGGTGTTGGCAAGGGGCTAGTAGGTGCCGTAACTAAGCCACTTAGTGGTGCAGCTGAGTTGTTGGCACTCACCGGACAAGGTGTGCTGCATACTGTGGGTTTCAATACTATGCCGGAGTTGCGTGTGGCCTGTCACTGTGAGAATATTCCAACTGAACCTTCAGCGTATCGCATATGGAAACTTTTACCTGGCACACTGAAATCAGATCAGATTTTGTTCAATTGCGAGGTAACATTGGTGACGCAAGAACAAATGCGACGTGGCTACGCTTTGCTAACAACCAGCGTGTTTGCTCTTATGGAGTTGGAGAATTATAGTTTAATATGTGTGTCCCCCATTGACAAAGTGGAGATGACGAGTGATGCCGCGGACAAAACACTGTATTATATACACTTGATGAAAGATAAAGAGGGCGCAGATGAGGTAAGGATGAGATTGCTTCTTATATATATACGTATATTTATTTAGATTTCAACGGTTATTATTCCTTTGGAAGCAGGACTATACAAATCAGCGCATTATCACCTACATACATTCCTCGACTTCTCTGAAGAATGTGTCGACAGCAGCGGCTGGCTCACTGAGTGATCTTATGCAAAATCACGAACAAGAGATGCAAGCGAGCAGACGCAAACAAACTGATTGGTCATTCTATATTAGTGAAGCGCTTGGCACACACATTATAAGGTATTTAAGAGTAATGAATAGAAATTGGTAATAGAAAAGCAGGTACCCGATTACCACTGTTACTTTTTACATTAACGTTTAATGGTTTTTTAGAACATGACACTTAGTACATATTTTATATCAATTTGTATTTGTATATACAAGTATTTATATTTAGGAATAGGAATTCTAGTTCTTAGAACTTTAAGGAACATTAAAGAGAAAATAAAAATGAGAATTGTAATTAATTATTAATTAGTTGTTACTGTAGCAAATGCTGCCTAAATCGGCACGTCTATCAATCGTTGACGTCAAACATAATTAATGACAGGCCCAAGAGACGTGCTGTGTCGATGTGATCGGACCAAAAGGAAAGGGTAAATGGGTCTAGGGGCCAGTGAATAAGTTGTTGTTGTTGTTGTTATAACAGCATACCAATTCCCCAAAGAGATTTTGGGGAGTGTTGCTGGAGTGACAGTCCTTGGCCAGATGTAAATCTGGGTCGTTCCGGTTACGTAGACCCGACTGTCGTAGGAACGCAGTGAATAAGTGGTTGGTGTGGCTTGTTGTAACGGCATGGAAACTTCACAAGGAATTTTGGGAATGCTGCTGCGTTGAAAGGCCTTGGCCAGACATAAATTTGGGTCGTTTCAGTAACATATAGATCCAACGGTCGTGGGAACGATGTGGATGTATGTCGGCATCGAGTCTAGATAGGTAGGAGTATAATTTGCTAAATTTTCCTGACCTCGATTGCGCCAGAGTTACTTGGGTATCTCTTGGCCGCTGAAGATCTGGTTATGTAGCCAGAAATCAGTGCACCATAATTTTTAGATTCATAAAAATCAGTAAATATGGAATATGAATCCTTCGTAGTCCGATTTTCGTGAAAACTACGAAAATACGATCACTGAATCCGAATTCCTACGAACATATGCATTCAAAGTACACATATGCTACGTTCGTAGCTATTCGGATTCAGTGATAGCATTTTCTCATTTTCGTAGATGAATAAATTTTTAACCTTATTAGATATGTATATTAAATAAAATTGTATTAAGAACATTCTAAAAATCATGATGTACGGATTTCAGGCCATTCTAGCTGTGGTTGAATTCTGAAGATGGCATTAACGAAGCGAGAATTGGTAAAGGTGGTGCTAGTGGGTAACATAAGGCCCGGGCCAAGCCGCCGACTTGCAGGAGATGCAAATTAAAGTACACTCATTCCACTATGGATCAGACACTACCACCAGCATAGCCACCAGCTCTAGCAATAGCACCCACGCCAGGCAAGGCAGGTTCGGCAGAACACGTGCCTACCACGCAAGAGTTGCTAGATGGTATCGATATGAAGAGACTGGAGCTCGATAGGCGGAGTTAGAGCGAACGGATAGGAGAGTCTTTCTTTCTTTTTCTTATTTGGCACTACAACCGTTTGTCGGTTTGGGCCGAGACCAAAAAGCTTCGCCAGTTGCCTCTCTCCTTTCCGGATCTGCGCTAGTTCTTCATCCCAAGTGCGGACAGGCCCTTCTGCAATTGGTCCTTCCATTGTGTTCGTGGGCGCCCTTGCTTTCGTTTTTCACCCATGGGTGCGGAGTCGAAGGATCTTTTCACCGTAGCGTCGTCATCCTTGCGTACAATATGTCTAAGCTAGCACAATCGTTGATGTTGTTGTTGTTGTAGCGGCTACTCAACCCCGCCTATATCGGCTTGTCTCTCAATCGTTGTCGTCAAGCTCAACTAACGGGAAACCCAGGAAGCGTACAGCTTCAATCAGGTTTGTGGGGTGGTTGTGTTTCCAAAACCGCATTCACAGGTCGACAGTCAGTGTAGGTCGGCACTGTGAGTGCCGTTTATAGCCTGTCAGCATGCTTTAGGGTCTGACGCAAGAATGATAGAATGATTTTTGAACGTTATTTTTGCGTGGTGTCATTTTGGTGCAATTTTGAGAGAGACAAGTAAAACGCCAAGGAAAAAATATAAAACAATGCAGGAATATGTGTTAATATCAATATTTAATGGCCCAATTTTAAAGGAGTTATTAAATATACAAAGTTCAATTAAATAGGAACACGTAGCAATGATTTTCGGCATGTAGTAGAGATGGGCACGGGCCTAAATTTTCGAATTTATTAATAAATATGTGACGGCAAATTACAAAATTAGGTTTTACAATAAAGTGTAGACCCTTGACTACAAGTGTGTGTAAAATTTTTCGGATCGGGTCACCCATTCGGACACAATAGCCCGAAATCATTCGACAAATAACTAAACCATACCCAGTTAAATTGTTACACATTTGGTTTTCCTCAATCAATAGTTGCGTTCCTTATCTCCCAGAAATAGTGAGAAACAGTCCGAAGTTGTCAGATTTAGTCCAAAAAGCGTTTCTTAACTTGAAAATGACAGCAGAAATAAAAAAGCAACTGTGACTCTCTTCAGTCCGAAGTTACAAGATCTACCCTGGGATTCAATAATGCAGTCTCATCTCAAGTCACTAAATTTGAGATTAGCAATTAGTGACTATTTTTGTGACTTGAGATGATTTGGCTATTCAGTAGGAGAGAGTCACAAAAAGTTCACCAAAAATGTGTGGGGAAAACAAATACAGACAGTCAACTGACAGCATTTGTGTATGCCTTTTACCGCGCCGCCCGAAGAGTCGCAATGGCCGAGTGGTCAAAGCATTAGGCTGCCGGTCGAGAGGGTCCGGGTTCGAGTACACCTCGGGCGTAGAGGATTTTTTTTTTATTTAGTATTTTTTTTTATTAGTTTTATTTTTTTAATAATCTTTAGATTTTAATGTTAAAAAAAATATATTTTTTTTCAATGGATTTGTATGTTAAAGCATTTTCGTTTATTTCCTAAAGAAATTCTTATTGAACAAATTTCCTCGCTTCACTTTCGCGTTTTTTTTTAATAAAATGGAAAGAAATAAGCTTTTCCTCCATACTTCTATTTTAGTGACCGGATCTTAGCCACAAATTAGTGTTTTATTTTTGAGACTAGAGACGTGAGACTGAATACCAAATAGTCTCAAAATCCTAGTTCACCACCAAAAGTCACTATTAGTGACTAGAGACCGCTTACTGAATGCCAGGGTTAAGGTTTGTCCCACACGAGCCCGCGGGATCTCGCGGGTGCCCAAAAAGCGTTCCTCACACTAGAATAATGGGTAATAGAGAGCGAATACCTTCCACTTTTGCGTCGTAAATGTCTTCTTCTTCGTGCCCGAAACAGCCCGGACCGTTTTTTCCGGGCAAAAATATGCAAGAAGTCAATTTGAAATAACAACTGTTGTTTGTTTACATCCGAAAGTAAATTTTGTAAAATACAAAAATGGAAAATAACACTTCAAAGACGTAGTTATTTGCTAATTTTATTAGCTATATAAAATAAATACACATAAGATCATTCTTTAGAGCTGGTTTGTTGATTCCGGGCCTGAAATGTGATTTTTTTGCGTTCCTCACCCTCTGGCACGTGTTGACACATTTTTGGCACTTGTTAGCCGAGAGGGTCCCGGTTCAAGTCCTCCTCGAGCGTAGAGGATTTTTTTTTTATTAGTATTTTTTTTATTAGTTTTATTTTTTGCTAACAATCTTTAGATTTTAAAGTTTTAAAAACAAAAAAATAATTTTTTTTCAGTACATTTGTATGATGTTAAAGCATTTTGGTTTATTTCCTAATGAAATTCTTGTTGAACAAATTTCCTCGCTTCATTTTCGCGTTTTTTTTTTTTAATAAAATGGAAAGAAATAAGCTTTTCCTCCATACTTCTATTATTGTGACCGGCTCTTAGCCAGCTGACAAATTAGTGTTTTATTTTTGAGACTAGAGACGTGAGACAGCGTACTGAATACCAAATAGTCTCAAAATCCTAGTTCACCACCAAAAGTCACTATTAGTGACTAGAGACCGCTTACTGAATGCCAGGGTTAAAGAATATACGAAAAGTGAGAATAATCTAAAGGCAAAAAAAAGGTGAATTGAAAATTGGAGGAGGCAAAAAATAATTGATGTAGTAAGTGTTTATTGGGCTCTTGCGAATATGTTTTGTACATACATTTCTATTTTAATTTGGCATTAGTTTTGTTGCCATTCCCATATCACGTACCGGTCACAAAGAGAATATACCGGTCTTATCCTGGCATTCAGTAAGCGGTCTCTAGTCACTAATAGTGACTTTTGGTAGTGAATTTGGATTTTGAGACAATTTGGTAATCAGTACGCTGTCTCACGTCTAGTCTCAAACAAGTCACTAATTTGTCAGCTACCTAAGAGAAGGTCTCAAAAATAAAAATATAGAGAAAAAGTTAATTGCTTTCCATTTTATTAAAAAAACGCGAATATGAAGCAAGGAAATTCGTTCAATAAGAATTTCGTTAGGAAATAAACCAAAATGCTTTAATAGTATACAAATACATTGAAAAAAAAATTTTCTTTTAACATTAAAATCTAAAGCAAGGCGAATTTATATAAGGTGGTGTTACTAGGTCAGCTGATTATGTGTATGTGTTTCGCCGCACGGCTTCTGATATCAAATTGAAAAATTTTGTTTGAATTTCTACACACATTCTTACAGATTTTGACAGTTTATAGGTTTGTTCGTCGAAAATCCAGCAAGAATTATCCAACACTCAAAATATCAGAGAGTAGGAAAAAATTCTCTCAAATTCTCTCTCATATTGAGAAACTTGCAAATTTCTGCACGAACGCAAATTTGCAGGAATTTGCAAGTTTCGCTGCCAGCTGGCGTCCACGGTTGCATTTCAAACATAAAAAATTTGAATCGAATTTTTAAAATTCTTTCGGATGGCCAAAAACAGGATATACATGTATATTTCTTGTTGTTCTGACTTTTTTGACATACATTTCAATTTCTTCATCGTACTAGCTGTCGGGTTTCTTAAATCGACTCTGGTTGCAATTGCATTCCGACTGCGAATACCATTTTTTTCAGCCGAATTAAGTTCAAATCATTGGAATTAACTAAATTAATTATATCAACAATTATTTACTTCCTTTTTTCATAAAAAAATCGCTCGTGTTTATAAATTTTTAAATTTAACGAACTAATTTATTTAAATTATTGTAGACACAAATGCAACCATGCGCCACAACCACATGTTTTTCGTGTTTGCAAATTCTTGCTGGCAAAATTTTTTCCAGCAAGAATTTGCAACTTCTCTCCAAGAGAACTGTCACTTTGCTCTCACAATTTTTGAGTGTTGGATAATTTTTTGGTCTGCACGAACGCGATTTTTTGCTCGACGAACAAACCTTATACCGCCTAAGCAAAAACAAAATACATGTAAATTATTGTTTTTGTACTCCTGCTATCACCTTATATTAATTCGCCTTGATCTAAAGATTATTAAAAAAAAAATAAAACTAATAAAAAAAGAAGAAAATACTAAAAAAAATAGATCCTCAACGGTCGAGAAGTACGCGAACCCGGACCTTCTCGACCGGCAGACTAAAGCTTTGACCATTCGGTCATTGCGACTCTTCGGGCGGCGCGGCAAAAGGCATACGTAAACGCTATCAGTTGACTGTCTGTGTTTGTTTTCCCCACACATTTTTGGTGAACTTTTTGTGACTATCCTACTGAAAAGCCAAATCATCTCAAGTCACAAATATAGTCACAAAGCCCGCCGCAGTGTGTTACGTAAAGCACACAAACTCCGCCCCCGAGACACACCAACGTGCTTTACACCAGAAGAGACGCTGGCAGCTGTAAAGAACGCCAAAGCATCCAAGGCGTTAGGGCCCGATGGAATCTCGATGCAGATGCTGAAAAAGCTAGGACCAGTGGGATTCGAGTACATCACAGCAGCTTTCAATTTGTCACTGTCCACCCTGATCATCCCTGAGATGTGGAAAATGGGTAGGATCATCCCCCTCCTTAAGCCAGGTAAGAAGGCGGACGCAGGAGACTCTTACCGGCCAATCTCCCTCCTATCCCCAGTGGCAAAGACAATGGAAGCACTACTCCTCCCCAGTCTAACGAAGCATCTGCAACTAGCCCAACACCAACACGGATTCCGCAAAATGCACAGCACAACCACTGCATTAAACGCCATCACCACACAGATAAGCGAGGGTCTGAACCAACGTCGACCCTGTGATAGGACGGTCCTAGTCGCGGTGGACCTGTCGACGGCCTTCGACACGGTAAACCACGCGACCCTTTGCCAAGACGTCCTGGACTCGTCGCTTCCGGATCGGACGAAGCGGTGGATAACCAGCTATCTGTGTGGACGCCAATCATCGGTCGAATTCCGAAGCGCCAAGTCCAAGCCGCGTAGGATTAAACAGGGGGTCCCCCAAGGCGGCGTACTCTCCCCGACACTGTTCAACCTCTACATGGCGAAACTCCCTCCGCCGCCAGCAGGAGTTAACTTGGTGAGCTACGCCGATGATTGCACGATTATGGCGACGGGCCCCAATATTGACAGCCTATGCGGGAAAATCAGCGACTATCTCACCGATCTTGCAAATTTCTTCACTGCCAGGAGCCTCACCATCTCCGCCGCGAAATCCACCGCCACACTGTTCACCACCTGGACAAAGGAAGTTAGGCTAGAGCTGGACGTTTACATCGATGGCAACAAAATACCGACGGTCAACCACCCAAAAATCCTGGGAGTCACGTTCGACAGCCTATTCTCCTTTTCTGCGCACGCCTCAGCCACCCGCGAAAGGATGCGAGCTAGGAACAAAGTCCTCAAGTCACTAGCCGGCAGCACTTGAGGAGCCGACAAAGAAACCGTACTCACCACGTATAAAGCAATCGGCCGGTCGGTGGCAAACTATGCAGCGCCAGTGTGGACGGCGGGTACCAGCGATACGCAGTGGAGAAACTTACAAACATTCCAGAATGCAGCTCTACGCACGGCTACAGGCTGCCATCTCATGTCGTCCGAGCATCACCTCCACCAAGAAAGCCAGATGCTGGCGGTGAAAGAGCACAACACGTTGCTATCGAAGCAGTTCCTCGTGGGATGTTACCGTGGAAATCACCTCAATAACGCCCTGCTTCGAAATGAACCGCCTCCCCGACATGTCAGACGTCACCTACACGACTGGAAATCCGACCGCCACCCATCAACATCGACGAAGCCGAACTGCCTAGAGAGACCAGGTGCACCCTAGCACAACTCCGTTCTGGGTGGTGCCACAGCTATCTCTCCCGGCTGAACCCGGAAGTGGCAGACACATGCCCTGCATGCGGGCAAGGTCCACACAACACCCAACACCTCTTCGCATGCGCCTCTAACCCCACGACCCTGACACCAGAAGCACTATGGACCGCGCCTAAAGACGCTGCACGCTTTCTCGGCCTCAGGCTTGTCGAGTCAGAGGACGAAGACGACCTTTGACGAAACCCCGGGGGGTTGAGTACTGCTGCTACAACAACAACAACAATATAGTCACTAATTGCTAATCTCAAATTTAATGACGAGATGAGACTGAATTACTGAATCCCAGGGATTGACTCAGCACATCACTTCTGCTGTCTTCTCGACTGCGACGTCAGCAAAACAGCTGATTCTGTCAAATTCACTGAGAGCCGATTAGCGGTGTTGCTATCGACGCCACCTTCTGTATTCTCTCCACCGTGGTGGTCTGCGTAATGAGAAATACACCACACAAGCGGCTTGTCAAAAATAATTCAAACCTTTTCCCATTTTCGCTATACACCATGAAAACATGACTCGTTGAAGCAAAGAACATGGTAATTCGCCTTGGAACATGGCGACCAGAAAATTAAAAACTTTTGATTTTTGTTCATATCTCCCCTCGAACGGCTTGTGAAACCGTCAAACACCCACATACACAACACAAATAGCTTGAAGCAGCAAAGGGATATTTCGCTAAGTTTGTCAAGCCGCTTGTTTTGTCAATTTCGCCCATAAAGCTGCCAACATTTTGGGCGACATCTGTGGTTAATACTTTTTATGTTCGCAACGTCAGACGATATTTTGTGTTAAAAACCGCATAAATTAAGTTTTTCTGAATGCAAATAGTAGAAAATGCCAGCCAGTGGGGACCAAAAAATTGATGAATCCGGTGAGTTTATTATTCTACGAATAAAGCATGCAAAGTCATTTATTTCTTGACACATAGCGGAAGTGCGGAACTACTTTCTTAAACTACTGGATACGGATAAGGATCTATCCTCCGGCATAGCCGCGATTAAAACATTGTTAATGATACTCGAGAAAAAACAATGTAAGCAATACACAAAAATCCTCTGACATCATACAGCAATTATTTGTTTTCTCTGCTTCAGTTGACACCATACACATCCTTCACACGACAATGCGTGACGCGGTGGCGACAATGCGCAACACTGACCTGTCCATAGCTGCAGTAGTATCCGGCGGAGAACTTTTCTGTCGCTTCATTACATTAAGTTTGGATGACAAACACATGGAAGAATGTCGACAAATAATGTTGCATCGTGGTAAAATATTTCTAACAAAGCTTTTAAACTCTCGCAATGTGATTGCCCAACAAGCGAAAAAATTCGTTGCTGATGGCTGTCGCGTGCTGACCCACTCGCGTTCACGCGTAGTGCTAAAAACACTTATAAGTGCTGCGAAAAATAAAGAATTCCACGTTTATGTAACACAAGGTGGGCCTGACAATTCCGGGTAAGTAAAATACAGCCTTCGAGAAGCATAATTATTCAGTTAATTTAATTTTTACACAAGCTCTCAAATGGTTGACGAACTCGGGCGAGCTGGAATAAGTAGCACTCTGATTCTGGATTCGGCAACGGGCTATGTAATGGAGTCTGTAGACTTTGTAATGGTTGGTGCAGAAGCCGTCGTTGAAAGCGGGGGCATTATCAATCGCATTGGAACTTTCACAATGGGCTTGTGCGCCCGTGAAATGAAGAAACCTTTTTATGTTCTGGCTGAAAGTTTCAAATTCACCAGACTCTACCCGCTAAATCAACGTGACCTTCCGGATGAGTATAAAGTAAATTGCGATATGCATTTTTTAATATCATGTTTATACATTTTTTAAATATCATGTTTGTCCCTCTTTTCAGTATTCTCGCAAACACCTGGTCGACGTATCTAAAGTGCACCCACAAGTTGACTACACGCCACCTGCTTATATCACTTTGTTGTTCACCGATTTGGGCATTCTTACGCCCTCGGCTGTCAGTGATGAATTGATTAAACTTTATATGTAATTTACATATATTGATGCAATGTTTTCAAGTGTACTACAAACAAAACTTAATAAATATTAATGCAAGTGCATTTTTTACAAAACCAGCTAAATTTGTTAAATTTTATTAAGCATAATTGCAGTTTTAAAGAGCAACACAAGTGCAAAATATTTGCTTTCTTGTTAGACAACGGTTTATGATGGTATTATTTTTTGTAGTCATTAAAGGCAACTGCTAATATAGTAAATTTTAAGCATACATTGTCCAAATAAGATCGAAATCTAACTCAAGCCGAGAGATCGCCGCAGACGATTAGCAGTGTTGTATTCCTGCTCGCTGCGTTCATGCTCAGCAGCATGCGCAAATTCCATATACATATTTGCGTTTTCATCCTCATCTTCCGAATCATCGGTAAGATAGTCGCTCGAATCATCGTCTTCATCATCATCATCCTCATCAAGCTGATCTAAATCAGCAGCAGCCTAAAAATAATTTGAGACATCTTAAACATTTCTATACTGATAATTTGCATATCACCTGTCCGGATTGTATATTTATTTCTATTTGTAAACGAATATCCATGATTAGGAAGGCCGTCGTTACTAGCATTGGTATAGTAACACGACTTTTCCACGCCAAATCGGTGAGGAAGAGGAAAACTTCTCCGAATGGTGTATTCATGCTTGCATCTATCCTTTTCTGTCTATTCTTGTGTCTCCTCTTTTTTATCTTTTTTAATTTCCTGATTTGTATCCTCTTGCTTGTCTGCAGTTTCTTGCGCCTGTTCCTGCTGGAGTTGGTCGTGCTTCACAATGTGCACCAGTTCACCAACAGAAAGAGCCTGTACTGGTTGAAGGTGTCTATAGAATTCAAGATTGTTTAAAGGCTCATCTAGCGCTAATACGGCATTATTATTATCGGGATCCCCACTATGCAATAGCTGGCGTAAGCAATCGTTGCGCTTCTCTGCTAATGCTTCTACTAAACTCGCACCTTTTTTGATTTTCTGCAATTTTCGCTCTATTTTAGGGAATGAAAAACAAATAGAATAATTTATTAAATTGCCTATTTGAAAATTTCCGCAAAATATGCTATAATAGTTAAAAAAATATGTGCGCATGTTTGTCTACATACCGAGTCCACGTAAGTAATTGTCAGAATCGGGCAATGGCTCTAGGGAGCCAGAGGTGTTGTTGCTATTTTTTTCGTTACGCTTTGGGGGTGTCTCTTCAGGTGTGTTTTCGGAAGTATTTCCCGTAGGTGTTGCTTGTACGGGTTCGAAATTGTCTTCAAATTCCAAAGGTGCTCCCTGCGAATGTTCTTTGCTGTGCTGCTGCTGAATCTCGTCCTCGCTTGTACCGTTTTCTACCGAAGTATTTTTATGGTCTGGGTTTTGGACCATCCAAGGATCTGTCATTTTCCTACGGAATACCTTAGTTTACACAAAGGATAACAAGAAAACTACATAAACCGGGGCACACTTAACATTTTACAACGTATTTATGTTTAATCACAGTTTTCATATGTATAAACAAGCAAATAAATGCATGATCCAATTGGAAATATTCTTCTTCTTCTTTGAGTTCGTATCACGCTAAACGTAGAACTAGGGACAAAACGATACCAGCGAGCAGTGTTGCCGCGAAACTTTTTAGCGGTAGCTAAATTTAGGCTAAAAAAGGGCTAAAAAAGAGCAAAAAATCGTCGTTGTGGCTAAAAATGGTAGCTAAATTTTTTTACCTACATATAAATATATTTTCTATAAGTAATGATATAGAAAAAGGGAAAATTTTAGTAGACGGACGGCAAATTCTAGAAAAAGGGGGGATGAGGGGCGGTAGAATAGGACCCCCTGATTTCAAAACTATCCCCCTTTTTTCTAGCAACCCTATAGTTCTTATATAATTTATTGTTAAAGTTTTCATATAAACGATGATTAAGATAGCAAAATAACATACAACTTAGTGCCACCAGACTGGAATTTTGAATAATAAAAGAGGATTTTTAATTCGAAATTTTTACTTAGTAGAATTATTATTTCTGTGTTGCCGAAGAAGGGGGGGCTGAACACATTTTGCAGAGAACACCTTTCTTCGTAGGCGGCCTTCGGCCGCACTTAGGGATTATAACCCTCAGGCAGTAGAATTCTCCTTTCTGTTTTGCGAAGAAAAGGAGCTGAACACCTTTTGCAGAGAACACCTTTCTGCGTAGGCGGCCTTCGGCCGCACTTAGGGATTATAACCCTCAGGCAGTAGAATTCTCCTTTCTGTTTTGCGAAGAAAAGGAGCTGAACACCTTTCTGCGTAGGCGGCCTTCGGCCGCACTTAGAGATTATAACCCTCAGGCAGTAGAATTCTCCTTTCTGTTTTGCGAAGAAAAGGAGCTGAACACCTTTTGCAGAGAACACCTTTCTGCGTAGGCGGCCTTCGGCCGCACTTAGGGATTATAACCCTCAGGCAATAGAATTCTCCTTTCTGTTTTGCGAAGAAAAGGAGCTGAACATTTTCTTTTGTATTGATTTCCCCTGTATTCCTTTTTAATCATTGCCTTCTTTGTATGTATTGTTTTGTACAATATGGCAACACATGTTATGTGTCAGTTTGCAACCATGTGTTATTGTAAATATGCGTGAAATTCAATGTAATTTACAAGTCCATAAAAGTTTAATTAAAGTGGTTTATGTACAAGATAAACTAAAAGAAAAGTGTGTAAAGTATTAAGTACAGTGTTATGTGCATTTATATATATAAAAGTATGCACAAATGCTTTTTTGTTAAGGAAACCAAGTGGAACAACTTAAGAAATTTTAACAACAAATAACTTATAAACAATGATATTATTTATATTTTTTAGTTATACATGTTTTAGAGGATACCTCCCTTAACATCCTGACCAAGTTTCATTTGTTAATTCCACCTGGTTTTCTTAAAACACAAGGTGCGGCTGACTACTAAAGCCCACCCTAGAAAAACAATGAACTCTGGAAAGAATTAATATTTTATTCAACAAAAAAACTTGTTGTGTAACACATAAAGCATATTAAGGGCCGCCAACTTACCTATTTTAAAGTATAGTTAAATCGTTAATGGATAAGATAACGGCCCGGAAACGTAAAAAACATACATATACATATGTATGTACAGTTTAAAAATTAATTTCTTACATAAACAAAAAAATGAGATCACATTAAGAATACATAAGTACTAGAATCATATCTATATACAGTGTCGGACAATACTAAATAACTTAAATAATTTCAAACTATGCTTCGAAAAATATCCATTTGTAAAAGAAATTTTTAAAATGTTATGTTATAATTTACAAAGAATTAAAATGTCGGTGCTTTATTATTGTCCGACGCTGTATGTATCAAACAAACAAAAGAGTATTCATTTAATGAACTCATAGTAAAATAATTTAATATATAAAAATTTTTTTTAACACATTAAAAATTTATATCTATATCAATACTATTATCGCTAAGCGATTCTTCGTCGTTACAATTTTGTTCATTTCTCATTAACCTGACGATATCATCTGTAAAATCAAAATCATGACAACATTTCTGTACATTTTTTAAGCCATATCTTACAGTTAATAAAGCGTTTAACATTGCAAAATTCATTTTATTTCTGTGCTTATTTATTATAGAAAACATCCTTTCAAGTTCTGCGTTACTTAAAGGTAAAAGAAGCAACCGATAAACAAACTTTTTCCACCACTTAAGCTAGCGACACAATGAACAGTTTATTTGCGTTAAAGGAAAGGCGTTCGCTTTATGAGCGAAGAGTTAAATTCATGAAAATCATATAAAAAATTTTAATGTCAATGATGAATAAATTTTGAAAAGGGCTAAAAAAAGGGCTAGGGGCAATTTCAAATTTTTGTGGCCAAAAAAAGAATTTGGTAGCCAAATTTAGCCACCAAAGGGCTAAAACGGCAACACTGCCAGCGAGTACAAGTAAATACTCGATACTTTTGTTGCGATACCAAGTATTTTTTTACTCGATGCTTTTCAATCCGATACCAAGTAAGTATCGATACATTGAAAAAACTCCGGAAATACTTTTTGTTTTTAAAAGTGTGTTTGCATTGTTCAACTGTGCGTTCAACATTTCGTCGCCTGGGTAAAAGATGGTCGTAAGCGCAATTTTGACGATTTTTAGTTCTAGATGCAGTTCCATATTTTGAAATAAGGTCTTTCGATTGGTGTTATCAGTTTTTAAATATCTCCTTTAGTTTTAGAGATAATGGCCCGTAGTCATAGTCAAAATAAAGTCGACTTTAAAGTTAGTTGCAGCTTTTTTGACAGATATCCCATTGAAAATTATGTCAAAAAGCTGCAACTAACTTTGAAGTCGACTTTATTTTGACTATGACTACGGGCCATTGACTAAAATTTAGTTAGAGATGCAGTCATATTAAACTAATCAATATCTTAAAAATGGCGTTCTCCATTTTTTGATATCCCCTTTAATTTCCGAGATATTGAGTAAAAAGTTTCGTTAATTTAGTATAAATTTTGATCGTAGTATTTCATACAAAGTGGCTGCCAAATTGTGGACAACTGACGCTTACGACAAAATTTTACCAAAGAAAATTCTTCTTAAACTCAAACTTAATTAACAATAAACATTAAAAATTAAATAATTTAAGAATTTTGTGAACTAGTAACATCTTCAGAGACTATGGAGAAAATCTATCTTCGCGTTTTTGAGAAACTGCATTCAACTCCAGACATACATATATCGTCGAATGGGTAAAATATTGTCGTAACTGCCCGTCTCCACAGTATAAATTTTATATCTTGATACATATGTCAGAATATAATTTGCCAATGGAGACCGCTCTTCGAAGGCAATATATATCAGAGCCTATATCTTGCCATCTATTGCCGGCAATTTGGTAGTTTGACAGCTACATTTTCATTTGCACGAAAACTTCGTGGCGGCAACATCATTAATATTTTAATATAAAAGCAAAAATTAAGCTGTTTCCTGTTAAAATAATTATAATTATGTACTTGGATGTAAAATAACTTATTTTCAAAATTTTTTAAGCGATTAAATCAGGCAAAAATACGTTTTCGAAGCTATCTTAGAAATGCTTATATCAAGATATAAAAGGCCCACACAAATATTGCCACTGATATAACTTATATCTAGCGACCAAAATGACAGCTGGACAGCAATCAATTTTATCCTGTGGAGACGGCCAGTAAGCGTCATACGTACGTGCGTAACATACGACAATAGTTGCGTTCGATAACAAAATTAGCCAACACCAGCCAACAATCAAAATCAAGAGAGTAAGCGAAAATTCTCTCCCAAAGAGATGAAAAAGCAAAAAAGTAAACGAACAGGAAATTAGCCATTACTTGCAAAAACCGGAAGAAGAAGACACACCAGCTGACTTTGTTTATGTTTTATTTTTAAACAAACTGAAATTCATGTTGCCTCCATAGAAGAAAAAAGGAAAGTGAACGTTCAATGTTCGCCATTAACATTTCTAGAAGTAAAAACTAGTTGGCGCTATCATAGTCACGTAGCAGGCAGCCAAAAAGCATATAAATACCAAAACTCGGAAAATGCAATTTTGTTTGTTTACAAAAATTGCAACCATGTTTTGTGATCATATGTTTTCGTGTTGGATAATTTTTGATGACTAAAATTTTGCCAGTACAACATGGACGCTTCTCTTGCATCAAAATGAACGCTTGCTCTCTCAATTTTTGTGTGTTGTATAATTTTTTGTCGTTATCGAACGCCATCCAGTAAAAATTTGGAAAAACTATTACACATTTTTGACTTGTCGAACGCACCTAATCTTTTACCTAGGCGTCGATATGTAAAAACCTAACTTTTTGATTTATTGAGGTTACCATTAGCCTATTAAAATATGGGATCAAATGTTTTTCATTGTTTTCATAAATATTTATATATATGTATATATATGCGTCGTCACGCATGCGAGATTTTCCAGCACGTGAAGACGGCCGGTTACATTCACAGAAGTGTACAAAGGAAACCTCGATAGTCGTCATCAACCATCGATGTTTTCTCCACCTCTATTTTCCATCTAATTGTAGTTTAAGCTGAATATTAAGCGAAATGATTGCTGTAGATGAAACAATTAGTATAGACATCAAAGGAAATGATACATCCACTGACGACCTAAAGCTGCGCCCAATAAATTGCGAGTTAAATCCTCTAACCCGCCCGGATGCATCAGCTTTATTTACGCAAGGTTTGCATATCCTTAACTTGGTGTTGGTTTAACTTTACCTTTACATTGTTTAGGAGATACATGCGTTCTTTGTTCAATGCTCGGCCCAGTGGAAGTGAGATCTCAAAACCTTAACATAGAAAAAGCCCACGTGGAATGTATTTACCGACCAAAAGCTGGCATACCTACAATAGAAGACAAATTGAGGGAGAGTATTATTCGTGATACTTGTGAATCGGCACTACTGACCACGTTGCACCCTCGTACAACCATTTCAATACAAATACAAGAATTGGATAATAGATGTGGAGTAAGTAAAGAGGATAGACTAGTTGAAAGCACTCAGACCTTAGATTTTTTCTAGCTTAAAGCATGTGCAATAAACGGAGCATGTCTGGCTTTGCTCATTGGCGGGGTGCCCATGAAATTTACCATTGCTGCAGTGCACTGTATTGTAGACAAGGATGACAAAGTTGTACTTGATCCGGATCATTGTAAAGCTATTGGCAAACGTGCTGCGTTTATATTTGTGTTTGATAGTTTGGAAAAGCATTTAGTAACAGTTCATACCAGCGGTCGTTTTCGAATGTCGCAGTTTAACGATGCTGAATGTATTAGTCGGGCGGCGAGTCAGATTATATTCAATTTTTACCGGCGTATTATTTCAAACTTCCACAATAAATCATTGTTGACAGCCGATACTAAATCAAGAAACAGAGAAGCCGAGCCGATCATCAAAGGAGAACCCATTGAATTATAAACCTAAAGAAATTTTGTATATAAAAAAGGTAATTGTAACATAAACCAACAAGTTTTTTACATCTTTATTGTGCTTTATCGCTATAGCTATTTGAATAAAACTGTTTTATTGAGGTAAAGTAAAGCGGTAAGCCTTTAAGCACCTGCGAGTTAGATTCGGTGATCTTGACTGCTACAAAATCGCCCGTTGTGATTTCTCTGTGACTTCCTACTTCACTCGGCAGCATCACCGATGGCACAATAACTTTAATATTGGCATCATTACGCCCAAACCAACATTTATCCGATCTTTTGCTCTTTCCCTCTATAAGTACAAGCTCGTTTCGACCCTCAAAACGTTTGTGCAAATCTGTAGCACCCTGGCGGAACACCTGTACCATGCGTTGTAAGCGCTCAGTTTTAACTGCTTGCGGCACATCATCTTTATAACGTCGATGTGCAGTCGTCCGTTCACGCATACTATAAGCGAATAGGAATGCTACATTATAGCGAACCAGCTCCATTAGCGTTAGTGTGTCTTTGAACTCTTCTTCCGTTTCACCGCAAAATCCGCAAATGAAATCACTGGAAATACCCACGTTCGGAAGCATTGTTCTTATAGAGTCCACCAAGCGTAGATAAGCATCTCTTGTATAACCCCGCCGCATACGTTCCAGTACAGCGTCATTTCCAGACTGAGCGGGCAGATGTAAATTTTTACAAACATTTGGATAATCGCATATGATGCGCAGTACGTCTTCAGAGAAATCCTTTGGATGTGGTGATGTGAAACGTATACGCATTTCAGGAACTGCTTCAGCTACTTGCCGGAGTAGCTCATCGAACCTCATTCCACCCAGCTTGGGTTTGTATACCGTACTGAAACCAGGTGCCACTTTGTTGGTCTCAAGGCCCTTTGTAATAGTTAGGGTGTTTGTGGTAATATCCCGGTAACTGTTGACATTTTGACCAAGTAGTGTGACTTCCTTTACGCCACTATCACGCAACGTTTGTACTTCCTGAACAATCGACTCTATAGGACGAGAACGTTCCCTACCTCTTGTAAAAGGAACAATACAGTAAGTGCACATATTGTCACATCCGCGCATTATCGAAACAAAGGCAGTTGGTGAGTCAGCATTCAAGCGCACCGGCATGACATCGGCGTAAGTCTCATCCAGGGAAAGCAATACATTAATCGCAGATTGCTGGTAATGCCGCGATATCGCCAGCAAACGGGGAAGGTCCTTGTAACTATCTGGCCCAGCTATGACGTCAACACACTTTTCTCGATCAAGTAAACGCTCCTTCAGCCGCTCCGCCATACAACCGAGAACGGTGATTTGTAGTGGACCATGTCGTGCAGAACGGCGGTCTTTCATAGCATGCAAATGCTTCAGTCGATTCCAGATTTTCTGTTCCGCACCATCACGTATAGCACAGGTAACCAACATGATAACATCTGCCTGTTGAACATCTTTACATCGCTGATATCCATTTTGCTGCAAAATAGCCCATACTACTTCAGTATCATTTGTATTCATTTGGCAGCCGTAAACTTCAAAGTGTACTTTGCGCCCGTGACCACTAAAGCTCTCGGGGAGTAAATAAGGCACTTGTAATTCATCGTTGTTTGCCTCAGTATGTGTAGGTCCGCGCTTTACATTAAAGAATTCATGGAGGCCTGGGCCGGCACTAACTTTTTCCAAAAAAGTTTGACGCGCATTTGGCGGTTTATTTGACGTTCTACAGTTAGTGGCTTCTGCACTGAAATGGCGATGTAGCGTTGTTGTCCATGTTGAAGAACTGCACGACAGTCCGATTGTCTGCAGCACTTTGGTGGGACGTCTAAGCCAATTAACTTTTATCATTGATTAGTTCTTTTTAACTTATTATTAAAAACAATTAAAAATTACTTTTCAGAGCATTAGGGTGTGCCCCCAGCGCGCAGCTGATTAGATTAGGTCGTAAACAAAGGAGGGATGTAAAAAAAATCGATGTATAGAGCAACATCGATGGTCGTGGCTTCAAACATCGTTGTTCATCGATGTTTTTACGAATCCGATGTTGAATCAAAAAATTAAAAATGTTTCTTGACTAATTTTTCACCATTTAATTTTATGCGCGCTTTAAAATTTTGTGCCAGCGTTTGATACCGATTAATAACTACTTTCGTGGAATCATGCCCAAGTACGTTTCTTTAATAATGTTACGATTATCGTTGAAACCTCGTCCGGATTTCCCAATCCCTCGGTTCGTACCGCTGTAGTACAATTAACTTTATTGTACAACAAACAATTTACAATACTCGCTAATACAGTAAAAACACTCTACAATACTTGTTAAAGCAATAACAGCGCTTAACTAAACTTGGTAAAACAATTAAACTTATATCTTGCTTATTCGCAACTCACTTCTCTGCTCACTTTACTTGTAGCTTGCTGTGTTGTAACTAACTCACCTCGCAGTGGCGGCGCCCTTATATACCTGCGCTGGCACTTATGGCAACTCTAGAACATTCTGAAGTTTATCTTCTCTTTCTCTCGCTGTTCGCAGTGTTTATCCAACTTGACGTTTCTCTTTGTGGAACATTCTACGTCATTCCTCGAACATTCTGCCTGTTTGTCGTTGTTCGCTTTGTGTTGCCGCAGTATTCGTCACACTGCCCTCCACCTAAGTCTGATCGTCCCGATCAGACACACTTGCGGTTCCAAACGCTGCAAGCCTTTCCAAGTGGACCACCTTCATCTTCTTTCTTGGTCTCCCAACGGTCTGGATCCGATACACTACGTCATTTAGCCGTTTTACGACCTTATACGGACCTTCCCAGTTGCATTGTTGTTTTGGGGACAAACCTTTCTTTCGTTGTGGATTGTACAGCAAAACCAAATCTTCTTCCTGGAAACACTTGGAATTTATCGCCTTATCATACCTGGCTTTCATCTTGTCACTCATAATTTGTGTGCGCTGTCTCACAAGAGCATGTATCTCTCTCAGCTCCTCTTTCAGGATGTTTGACGTCTCTTTTCCAATTCTTCTAGCATCACCAGTCACCCCAAACTTCAGATCACTAGGCAAACGGAGCTCACTGCCGAATATTACCCTTGCAGGAGTTTTACCCGTTGTTTCATGCACTGCTGACCGTTATCCCATCAGGAACAAGGGTATGCGGACATCCCAATCTTTTTGATTCTTGTCCACGACCTTCCGCAAATGCTCTTCCAGGGTTCGGTTGAACCGTTCCACCATGCCATCTGATTGGGGATGAAGAGCCGTCGTTCGAGTTTTCCGGATACCCAGTATCTGGCACATCTCTTGGAACACCGCCAATTCAAAATTTCTTCCCTGGTCAGAGTGCAGCTCTATAGGTACACCGTATCTCGCAACCCAATTGTAGGTGAATACCTCCGCTACTGTTTTAGCTTCCTGGTTTGGAATCGGGTATACCTCCGGCCATTTGCTAAAGTAGTCCATAACCACAAGGACGTATTTGTTTCCCTGTGCGCTCATAGGAAATGGACCGGCTACATCCATGGCAATCCGCTCAAAAGGTGCACCGGAGTTATACTGCTTCATCTGGCCATGACTTCTGGATTTCGGCCCTTTAGCTGCAATACACTCCGCGCAGTTGGCAATCCACTCTGCGACCGATTGCCGACAACCAACCCAATAGAACCTCTGCTTAACCTTCTCCAGGGTCTTCGTGATTCCCAGGTGCCCTCCACTAGGACCATTGTGGAATTCCTTGAGTACATTCGGAATTCTTACCCTTGGAACTACTATCAGGTTGCGGGAGCACTGGCCATCTTCGCTTTCCCATACCCTATGCAAACAGCCAAATATTAATCTTAAGCTGTTCCATTGGGCCCAGTACGCCTTTGCGATGGGGCTTTCCGCTGCCATTTGCTCCTTGGTTGGTCTTCTGTCCACCTCCAGTCCATGCATCAAAAGCTCCAGATCAGGATCTTCCTGCTGACACTTTCGTAGCTGTTCTTTCTTCCACTCTTCCGCTGGTGTTATTGTCGTTAGACGAACGTCTATAATGTCCTATTTGCCTTCAGCTTTTGAGCAGTGTTTACATTTCAGGCTACATGGTCGGCGGGACATGGCATCAGCATTACCGTGGACACTTCCCTTGCGTTGCTCAATAGCGAAGTCATAACTTTGCAGTCTCTCAATCCACCGAGCTAGCTGTCCTTCTGGATTCTTAAACTGTAGTAACCACTTCATCGCTGCATGGTCCGTTCGAATTCGGAAACGTTGCCCATAGAGGTACTTGTGGAAATGTTTGACGCAGTCCACCAACGCTAGTAGTTCTCTCCGAGTTACGCAGTAGTTCCTCTCTGGTTTTCCAATCGACCGGCTATAGTAGGCAACTACCTTCTCCTGCCCATCAATTACCTGCGACAGTACTCCTCCTATGGAATAACCACTAGCATCCGTATCCAAAATAAACGTTGCACCTGGAACGGGATACGCTAGCATAGGTGCAGTACATAGCCGTTCCTTCAGAGTTTGGAAAACCTCCTCCTGCTCCTTGTTCCATTCGAAAGCTCTATTTTTCCTAGTGAGCTCGTGGAGGCTTTTAGCAACGCTGGCGAAATTCGGCACAAATCGGCGGTAGTACGTGCATAGCCCAAGAAAACTTCGTAGTTCGTGCAGGTTCCTAGGTCTTGGCCAATCCTTTACTGCCTCTATCTTTTCCTTCGCAGTACAGACGCCCTCCGTTGTCACCTTGTGCCCTAAGTAGTTCACCTCCTTTTTGAACAGTGAGCATTTTTTAGGACTTAGCTTTAGACCAGCGCCTGCTATCCTCTGGAAAACTTCTTCCAAATTGTTCAGGTGTTCCTTAAAGCTTTTACCCAATACGATAATGTCGTCTAGATACACCAAACATGTTTTCCAATGCAGTCCTTTGAGCACATGGTCCATAAGTCGTTCAAAAGTGGCAGGAGCGTTGCATAATCCAAAGGGCATCACCGTGAATTGCCACAGACCGTCTCCAATGCTGAAAGCTGTCTTCTCCTTATCCTCGTCACTTACCACCACTTGCCAATAACCGCTCTTAAGGTCGAGTGTTGAGAACCACTTTGTTCCAGTCAACGAGTCAAGAGTGTCATCGATCCTGGGAAGAGGATAGCTGTCTTTTTTAGTCACATCGTTTAGTTTCCGGTAGTCTACGCAGAACCGCATTTGACCATCCTTCTTCTTCACAAGTACTACCGACGAACTCCATGGACTCGCTGATGGTTCAATTACACCACTCTCGCTCATTTCTTTTATTATTTGGCTAACAGTTTCACGTTTGGCAAGTGGAACACTCCGAGGAGCATGACGGATTGGCCTTGCATCGCCAGTATCAATGCGATGTTTCACGACGTTAGTCCTGCCTGGTTTGTCGCCATCCTTGTCGAATATGTTGGAGTATCTTCGAAGAAGTTGCTTAGCCTTGTGCTGGTATTTTTCTTCCAACCCTTCCGTCCATGCATTAATGTCTTCCGCAATGTCATTCTCGCCAATGGAATCGCTTTCAGGTAATTTTTCGCAGTTGAAGATTGCCTCTACCTCTCGAAATTGCCCCAGTACAGTTCCTCTTCGGAGTTCGACTGGTAATTCGAACTCATTGAGCACTCGAACTGGGATGCGTCCATCCTTTTGCGCCTTAGCCAGGGTTTTACCAATAAGTACGTCCGGTGTAGAATTTTGTGTTGCTTCAACAACCCACAATTTGTTTGTCCCACAATCTCCATCAATCTTTGCCCACACAACTGCTTCTGACTTCGGTGGAA